AGCAAGTGCTGCCAAAACAAGTGAAACTCACAAGAACATTGTAGCTATGGTGACCACTACCTTGTTTACCTCTGGCTATGAAATAAAGCATCAGCTTGCCCTCTGGATCCCTCTCTGTGGCCTTAGCCAGGCACAGGAGATCCACCTAGACCAGTGGTCAGCAAACTATGGCTCGCGAGCCACATGCGACTCTTTGGCCCCTTGAGTGTGGCTCTTCCACAAAATACAACGTGTGGGCGCGCATGTACAGTGCGATTGAAACTTCGTGGCCCATGCACAGAAGTCGGTATTTTGTGGAAGAGCTACACTCAAGGGGCCAAAGAGCTGCATGTGGTTCGCAAGCCGCAGTTTGCCTACCACTGAGCTAGACCCAGCTTATTCTCTTTGTCTTTTCTAAATCCTTCGCCGCCCTCAGGCTCACCAAACCCTTGGCTGTGCTGGCCCGGCACACTCACATTTGTAGAAAAAATAATTTCCTGGTAGCCAGTGTTTCAGCAGTATAGCCATATCTAAAGTTAATTATCTCACCTCTTGGGAATCAGTGTCTTTAATTTACCACCTATTCAGACCTACCTGCTGTCAGCCTTCATAGAGCCTCTGGTCTTCTAGCTATATAAATACTGCTCATTGTATAACTCCATTATGCCTTTCTATAGTTTGCTCTAGCAATATGCTCTTCCATAAATCATGTTCATTCTGCATGCAGACACTGTAACTTCATGAATAGGTGAAATAATTATTTCTGATCAAAGTGGTGAGATCCTAGGATCCAAAATCTTTGTGACAGGTTCAGATGCCCACTTTCAACGCCTTCAATGGTGCCAACATGGTAGCCATCTTGGCAACAAATGTAAATTTGTGCCCTGGATGGTTTGGCTCAATGGATGGAGCCAAACCAGGGGTCATGGGTTAGATTCTGGTCAAGGGCCTGTCGCTCAGATGGAGGCTCCATACCTGGCCAGGTCAGAGCATGTGCGGGAGGCCACCAATCCATTTGTCTCTCACACATTGATGTTTCTCTCTTTGTGTTTCTCTCCCCCTCCTTCCACTCTCTCTAAAAATCAATGGAAAAAATCACCTCAGGTGAGAATTTAAAAAAAATTAAAATTTTAAATGCTATGTAAACTTTATTTCCAGATACATGTTATAATCTTAGGAAAAATATACAATATCCCAGAAAATACAATAAGCAATATGTAAAGTATTTTGGGGGTGCAGAGCACAAATGCAGAGAACCCCATGGGATAAATTCTGAGAAACCGAAAGACATGGTCTCACACCATCTATTTGCTTTAGGTCTGCCTAATAGATCACCTTCATGTTTCCTCTGGACCTGTCTGGAGGATTGTTCTTTCATCACTGACTGAACACACTGGGCCTCCTGATGCTCATTTTAAGAGATTTGCTCCCCATGAATTGAAGAGTATGAAGACTGTGAATCTTGTTAAGTATTTGCATCCACCTTAGTGTCTGTATAGCAACTGGTGATTATGCACTTTTGGCCTTTTAGGACCATGAATTACAAGTACATGTTGCAGAAGTATCTAACAAGTTTCTGATGAAAGTACCTGCTAAAACTTCCTACCAGAGTGGCCAGCGTTGCTCAATGGTTGAGCATCCACCTAGCAAACAGGAGGTCACCTGTGTAGATAGAGGAATGTTGGGGTCGAGCCCTAGCAGGTTCAGGGGTTCCCAAAGGTGTGGACGGAGTCGGCGAAGAATGAAGGACACGGAGGCAGCGTTCAGATCATCAGCCTAGCCAGGTTCTTTATTTTCCTGTTACATCTGTCTTTATATCATTTGATCCTATAAGCATGCCTCTGTAATCACGTCATGGTATGTTTTGGGTAACCTTCTACAGTTCCTTGTTTCATTTCCATAGTTTCTTATCTGACCTTTGCCAAAAATCCTGTCTCTATCTAGTTCTGTTGATTTTAATCTTGTCTAGCTTAATCTCTGTGTTCCATCATAAGGGCTATTCCAAGGTCACTATTCTACTGCTCTACTGATAAGCTACAAGGAAGTGACTGAAGGAGATTATCCTACCCAGTAAAGGTTATGTCCTCCCAGCCTCACTGCTTGCCTTCCCTGGGACTGCCCTGTGTCGGTGGGTCTCCAGGGGTATAGGCTTTGGTGCTTTCCCTGGTGGACAGACCCCTGGGGATGTCGGCCCAACAAGTCCCAAATTTATTGCCAACAGTCTTAGTCCAAGTTCTTCACAAGTAGTACATGGTATTTCTGTAACACCAGGGGGTTTTACTGATTTATTCTCTTCCTTAGTCCTGTTAATCCCGAACTCTAGGGAAAAATCCCCACCTGGGGAAACAACCTTTCTCAGGGAGGTGGTTCTGGTTATAACACATAGCGTTAAAAAAAGGGGGAGCAAACATATTAAGAACAGTATGCCGTATACACCAGGTACCTTAAAACATATGCTATGCAGATGTTTCTTCCCTGCAGCGACTGTGTCAGGCAACAAGGATGGACTGGCCTCCGGCAGAGGAAGACTGCAAAGGACAAGATATGTTCCGAATATGCTGCAGGGAAGACATGGTGAGCACAGTGGTCTCATACAGCCATTCTGGACAGAGAGGGCAGAATAGTGCGAGTAGTGGGGCCTGTGCAAATAGGAGACTTGAGTGCTCACACAATCAGATCAGGATGCTGCAGGTCTCCAGGATCACTTCTGCATATGAGGTTCCAAAATTCACATCCTGACTTCCGCTTTCTTTCACCGAGAAAGTCAGAGCCATGTACCAACACTGTAAGAGACAGACTGAGGTATGGAAGTTACCTCAGTGGATGGGGCCACAGCCTGTCAGCCAAAAGGTGGGTGAGGGTGCAGAGATCCAGCCTGAATCACGGGGGCTTCTGGAGGGTCATTCTCCAAGGTGACATCAAAGGGAGACAAAGTGCAGGTCAAACTCAATAAAGATTCCCCTAAAAACCCACTCCAGCAGGTATCCCAGTGAGGACCGAGGGACAGGGCAGAAGAGCTGATATTTTACAAAAATTGGGGAGGAATCATTTCAACAATGGAAACAGCAGCTACACCTGAGCCACCCTGGTCACCAGCGTCCCGACCCAGAGGGCTTGACCAGCACTGGTAGACGTTGTCTGTGGCTCTGGAGCCAGAATCTTGGGTTGCAACCCAGCCTCTTATATCTGACACTTGTTTGCTGAGTAAACTTGGAGAACCTACTTCAGTTCTGTAATGGTGGATCTTCCCAGCAATTCCATAGTCATTTCGACTTCCCAGGTTGTGAGAATGAAAAGAGGAAATACTCAAAAAGGGAACACTGGAATCTTGGTACAGGAAAGTACTCAGTTTATTACTGTAATTGGTCCTCAGAGTCCTTCCTGTCACTTGTAACTAACTGAGATGCAGGGAGCTTTAGCAAGTGTGCAGATTTCTCGTTGGAGATCCTACACTGAGAACTTAAATGCCCACAGTACCTGCCTCCCTGCAGGTAAGTAAACGTGTACTGAGAAGCACCCTTTCTTTGTCAAAAGCCCTTAAAAACTGAAGTGCTTGTTTGCATTGGGGAGCTGAAAGGTTCTCTTCCTGGGAATGTCTCTTAAGGCAAAGGCTGGTGTCCCGGAAGCCCAGACAGGCTGCAGATACACCTGCTGCACTGCAAATGGGCACCGTAGCTCTTGATCTCTTCTAACAGCTTAGGGATGAAGACATACCTTCTACCCATTTTACAGAAAAGAAAGTAGAGGCTCAGAGCAGAAAGAGTGGTCATTTCCCTGTCAGTCAATAATATTCAGAAATTTGGGATTCAAATCTAGGGCTCCTGACAAACAGCATTACTGCCATACCATTTCCACCTCACTGGGCTGTGGGACTTTCACACGTTAAGCGCCCAGTCAGTCATCAGTGACTGACACTCTTTCCGTCCGGAAGACAAAACAGGCTGGGCACTTAACGTGTTAAACCTCTGCCTATCAGCATGCCATGATCCTGCTGAGACTCCTCTTTTAACCAAAGAACCCTCATGACAACAGACAAGGAAGATACCCAACACTACAAAGCAAGGGCAAATTGCATTGTAGTGCAGATGACTGGTCTTGTGAAAGTGATAGAGAACGTTAGTACTGTGCATTAAAATGTAAAATATACACTGCATTGTGCATAGCATTTAAAAACAAACAAAAAATGTTCCCATGGTGAGGCTAGGTGGTTGAGTATCGAACCATGCACAAAGAGCTCCCCCGTTTGATTTGGAGTGAGGGCACATGCCTGGGTTGAGGGCTCCATCCCCAGGAGTGGCGTGCAGGAGGCAGCCAATTGATGTTAATGCACTCATGTTTCTATGTCTCTCCCTCTCACTCCTCTTTCTGTAAAATCAATAAAAAACATTTTCCTTTAAAATATGTTTTTATTTATTTTTAAAAATATCTTTTTATTTATTTCAGAGAGAAAGGGAGAGGGAGAGACAGAAACATCAATGAAGAGAATCATTGATTGGCTGCCTTCTGAACACCCCCTACTGGGGACCGAGCAGGCAACTCAGGTGTATGCTTGTGACTGGAATCAAACTTGGGGCCCTTCAGTCCACAGGCTGATACTCTATCCACTGAGCCAAACCAGCTAGGGATAAAATATGTTTTTATTGACTTCACAGAAGGGAGAGGGAGAGAGAGATAGAAACATCAAAGATGAGAGAGAATCATCTTTGATTCTCCTGTACGCACCCTACTGGGGAAGAAGCCCACAATTCGGGCATGTGCCCTTGGCCAGTATCAAACTAGGGCCCTTCAGTCTGCAGGCCAATGCTCTATCCACTGATCCAAAATGTCTACAGCTATATTTTTTAAAAGGTAAAAAATATTAAATCATATCATTCCAATATAAAAAAATTATTTCCTAAATCAAAAATAGAACAAAATGAGTGATATTCCAACATCCACCTTTGTCGTTCCATTGTGTTTTTGTTAAAGAAAATTGCCAAAACTCATAAAACATTAGGCAGAACATAGGATCAGAGGTTTTAATAAAGATACAGACACAGCAAATATACATCAGAAAAGACTCACCATAAATTTCTAGAAAAAATACAACCAAACAGTGAGGTAGCAGGACAAAGTTACCAAAAAAAATTGTTTACCTAAAGAATGATTGACCAAACAAAAGGTTCTCTAGAATGTGAATGTGTATCCCTCACAGACTGTTGTAGAAATGCAAAAACATACAATCGGTTAATGCTTATTTTTTATTCTTAAAGAAGAGTTTACTAATTTTTTAGGGAGAGAAGGGAGAGGAAGAGAAACATTGATGGAAGAGTGCCATATTGGCCAGCCACCTCCTGCACACCCACTTCCATGGATCTAACCCATAACCCAGGCACATATCCCCACCAACAATCAAATCCATAACCCTGTGGTGTATGGGAAGATGCCCAAGCACTGAGCCACACCAGCCTGGATAGTATATGCAGTTTAGATGACAATTTGCTAATCTCTGTAAATGTAAACATTCACCCAACAACTCAGATTATACAATTATCTGACAAAAGTCAGTAACACTTATCCTATATAATAAAAGCCGAAAATGCTAAGTGTCTAGTCAGCCATTCAACCAAAGTGTAATATGCTAATGATATGCTAAGACTGCTCAATCGCTCACTATGATGTGCACTGACCACCAAGGGGCAGACACTCCTAAGGTAGGTAAGCTTTCAGCTGGTCCAGCCGATCCGGACTGAGCAAGACAGGCCAGACAAGCCCTGAAGCCCTCCCCAGGTCCCTCGCTGGCTAGCCAACCTTCTGTGTCCCTCCCCAGCTCCGATGATGCACTGGTGGGGTCCTGTGGCCTGGCATGCACCCTGTAGCAATCCAGGACCCCTAGGGGATATCGGTGAGCTGGTTTCAGCCTGATCCCACAGGCCAGGCTGAGGCACCCCACTGGTGCATGAATACGTGCACTGGGAATCTGTATTCTATAAAGATTTATACAGAAATGTTTGTATCAGCTTTATTAAATAAATATTTATAAAAAATGGATAAACTGTTGGTGATAAATTCAAATATACGATTGTTTCTCAGAAAAAAAAAAAAAGATGAGTTACTAATATATCTTTAATAAATCTCCAAGTGTGGATGAAACATAAATTAAAGCAGAAATATATTTAGGAAATGTAATCTATTAAAAAGGAATGTAAATCCATGGTTACTAGGAAAGCTGTAAAGAACAGGGAGAGATTAAAAGAGGTCATGAAGCAAGTTCACAGTGACAGATATGGTCAGGATTATGTGTATAAATGATGGTTTCAGTTTCACGCACATGTTAAGATTTATGAAACACTATACTTCACAAAAGCGACATCCCTGGACTAAAGACACCCTTTGTCTTTGTCTTGGTTTGCTGCCAGCACACCAATGGCTCTGATGGGAACATATAGGAGGTGACAGGAAGCCACAAAACTTCGATTATATTCAATGACATTGATTGCTCTACAGAAGATAAACATGCCTGGAGTCCCTCAGATCTGTGTACATACCACTCCTATAGTCTCAGAAACATTCCTGGATGCACAGTTAGATGAGGACCATTCCACTTGATGGGCTGCAGTCTCGTCCAACAACAACTAGGTCAGTGTTTCTGCAGTGAAAGGGTTTCCTCTCACTGCGATGGTCCTCCAACCAGTGACCATCACCCATGGAATTGAAGGCATCAGGGCACATGGCCCTCTTGCAAGACCAGGGCAGGAGGTTCCCTTCTATTGTCTTAGTATCCCTTGAACAAAAGAAAAAAATTCACACTGCTCCCAAACATACTTGAGATTGTCACAGCTACCCACTCTTTGGAGTGATCTCTGAGTCTCAAAGCATCCATCTTCAAATGAGGACTAGACTCCACAGTGTTTCCTAGGAAAATATGGGCAAGAATGTAAATTTAGAAAAAACTACTGAGTTAATTTCTGCATCATAGTCTTCCCCAAAGGGCAAAAATGTTTGAGACCTCATATAAGTTTTTCACCTCATCATGCTTGGAGACCCCAGATCTCCTTATAAAATAACCCGTAGAGTCAATAGAACACCCAACATTAAAGCAATCTTACGGAAAAGCCTTCATTATTTCAAAAATCAAAGAGACATGAGACTGGCAGTTCTTCCATTGATGACTTAGGCACTCAATAAATTAATCACTGGCATTCAGGGAAAGCATGTCCCTGAAAATGGCAGTCCCTCTGCAACATTATGTTTCCTGGGGCCAACAGTAATGAATCCTATGTGGCAACTCATAACAGGAAACAAGAACTAAGGGCTCAGGTATTCCTCATTTTCTTCAACAAAAAAGACAAGAGAGTTAGCTTCCCTGGGCACATGAGGATGGTGATTGATGCCATCTGTAGGGACCTTATAGGTGGTTCAGGTGAAATACCTTCAGCAACAGAAATATGCAGTGACATAGACCTGGCAACACCTCTCTGCATGTTAGAAAGTGCAACATAGATACATATGATACCAACACAAATACTAACAAACACAACAACAAAAACAGTTGGGGGGATGTTACATAATGTAGGTGATTATATGTATGAGATATAATTCGGACAAATGAGACTTCACAAATATTCTTTTACAATTGTTAAGTCCTAACTAAGAAACTACATTTCCTATACATTTAAGAAATTTCTCACATTTGGGCTCTCTTGTGCAGAGCAAATTTAGAAATTTGGCTGCGAGAGAACTAACAATAATTACACTCATAATGGCTTTCTCCAATGTGAACTTTCTGATGATATTGGAGACCATTGCTCCTTGAAAAAGATTTCTCACATTCACTTCATTTACAAGGCTTTTCTCCTGTATGAACTCTCTGATGACGACGCAGGGTAATGCTCCAGGTAAAATGTTTCTCACATTCACTGCATTTATAAGGCTTTTCTCCAGTGTGAATTCTCTGATGACAATGAAGGGCAGTGCTACTGCTAAAAGATTTTCCACATTCACTGCACGTATAAGGCTTTTCTCCAGTGTGAATTCTCTGATGACAATGAAGGTCACTGCTAGTGGTAAAAGATTTCCCACACTCACTGCATTTATAAGGCCTTTCTCCAGTGTGAACTCTCTGATGACGACGAAGGTCAGTGCTTCTGGGAAAAGATTTCCCACATTCATTGCATTCATAAGGCCTTTCTCCACTGTGAACACTCAGGTGATAATGGAGGCCATTTCTACTGGTAAAAGCTTTCCCACATTCAGAGCACACAAAACACTGACTTCCAGCATGTACACCCTTTTCCTGAATAAAGGTGTAGGTGCAATTAATGTCTTTCTTACATTCTTTTCTGCTGAAATAATTTTTTCTCCTTTGAAACGTCATCCCTGGCATTGAAATAGCATTTGGACTGTCCCTGGTCTGAGGAGCCTTTAAGTGGAGATGTCTTGATTCGGTAAGGACACCCTGCCCGAACTCCCCGCATGTGAAATGATTCTGGGACACATTGAAATTGCAGCTGTTTGCAAGTGAGATCCTGTCCACACCTCTAATGAAAGTCTTCTCTTTCACATGCTGCTGGTGAAATTTTACACTGCAGTAAAACCGTTTTGCACACGCTCCACACCTCAACAGTATCTGTCCGTGTTGTGTTCCCGGCCCCTCCATCACATGGAAAATGTTTCCCAAGACTAGCCCACAACTCTCACAGGGGTGGCTCTTCTGGGAAGACAAGGCTAACTTGGGATTCCTTGCCTGTGACACTCTTACAGAAATGTTCTTCTCAGTTGCTGCCTCCACATTCTCTTCTCCACAGCAGCAACCTGAACAAAATGAAACGCTGGTGAGGTACATGTTGACCGTATGAAAACAGTATCTTAACCAGAGATGTTTACCTGTCATGACTGGACATGATTCCATAGAAAGATTTTCAAGACAAGTGAGTTATACTCTGAGGAAATAGCTGTTATACTTTTCTTGGCCCCGAAGGTCAGTGGATGATGAAAATCTCACCAAGAAAGGGACAGAAACGCAGGATGAGACACAAAGAGGAGAGGAAGGGTCTGCTAGTTCCTCCAGAAATGGCTTCTGTTAGGAACTTTCATGCTGGTGACGTGAGTCTGTGTAGAATAATTTGAATCTGCTCAAACCCATAAAAATCAATTGTATTAGAGCACATGATGTTCTACCTCAATACAGTAATAGGTGTGCACTCTAAGGCTCTGCAGGCATGGACCAACGATGGAGGGCACTAGAGAGAGACCTGTGAAAGAGGTATAGGTGAAAAGTTTACAGAGGTTAGGTTATCCATGGACTGGGAATCCAAGGAGAATGAGCACTGATCACTATTAAACCTGAGTCGTTGGCACAGTGTCAACAAAAAGCAAGGACAAGTAGAATTGGGTGAGGAATGGGCAATGGTAACAAAACACTGTTGAACCAAATGGGTTCCTAGCTATGAATGTAACAAAGCCCAGGTATAAAAACCTCCGCAACAGCCCTTTACTCAGGCAAGACAGCCTGTTGATCCATTGTGTCATCCATAAAGTCACGTTTCTACTGTGATGCAGAAATGATTATTCCACTTAATTCCCAGTTGAGCCATTGCACAGGATAAATGATAGAAATCGTAAAAGAAACATTGAAAAGATGGCCGGTCAACACTGTAGTACAACAACAAAGCAGAGATGAGATCACAGGCAAAAGAGCTATGGGAGTGACATCACCAAGAGGGCAGAATCAGAGATATGAGAATCTTTCCCCATCCCAGTGTAAGACAGACAGCTATCCATGAACAAAAACCCACAGGGAATGGGAATAAGAGTACCATGAAGACAAACAGTATTACAGACACAAATAAAGGAGAACTGTACAGAAAGGATGACTGAAAAGACTGGGTGAACAAACATATTTTCAGATAGCTACAGTCAAAAACAAGGGTCAGATTTACCTCCATCAACTATTGTGCTTCTGCTATGATTGACAATAGTGGCCTGTTATTTGAAAAATACTGGAAATTTTGTTTTTAAGAACCACAGAATGGCCCTAGCCGGTTTGGCTCAGTGGATAGAGCATAGGCCTGCAGACTGAAGGGTCCCAGGTACAATTGCGGTTAAGGGCACATGCCTGGGTTTTGGGCTCGATCCCCAGTAGGGGGCGTGCAGGAGGCAGCCGATCAATGATTCTCTCCCATCATTAAAGTTTCTATCTCATCCTCTCCCTTCCTCTCTGAAATCAATAAAAATATGTTTTTTAAAATACCCACAGAATACCCTGGCCAGTGTGGCTCAGTTGGTTGGAGCATCGTCCTGTGACCCTATGACCCTAGGGATTTTGGATTCGATTCCAAGTCAGGGTACATATCAGCATGTAGGTTCCATTTCCAGGTGAGACATGTGTGTAGACAACCGACTGATGTTTCTCCCTCACAATGATGTTACTCTCAGTCTCTCCTCCCTCCCTCCCTCTCTCTCCATCTCCATCTCTCTTCCTCTCTATCTGAAACCGATAATAAATAAATAAACAAATAAATAAAGAGTCCAGGGTAGCCAAACAAAAAGGAGAACTCAAAAAATCTAGAGACAAAGTAAATAAAAAGACTACCTACCAAAGCTCATGTATAAAATTCAGAAAATGCAATTTCAAGAGGCAATTTTATAGGGATAAATGCCTACATTAGGAAAAATGATCTCCAAAAATACTGGCTCCTCAGAAAACTAGAAACACAACTAGAAAGTAAACCCAAAGGTCGCACAGGAAAGAAACAATAAATATTAGAATAAACATGAATAAAAGGGAGACAAGACAAAATACAAGAATACCTAACAGGTATTTTTTTTTTTTTTTAAGATACAAAATTGGAAAAACCTTAGCTATACAACCAGAAAAACAAAACAAAACAAAAACCAAGCCTCAAATAAATTGAAAAGAAATGACAGATAAGACATCACACCTGACACTATGAACCACAAAGCATCATAAGAGATGTTGATGTTAGCAGATGACACGACCCTCCATAGAGAAATTTGTCAAGATCCCAGATGAGCTTCTGAAATTAATAAACAAATTCAGAGACCCGGCCAGACAGCTCAGTTGGTGAGTGTGTGGTCCCGATGCACCACGGTTATGGGTTTGATCCCCCATCAGAGGACATGCAGGGGACAGCCAATGAACACTTAGATGGGCAGAACAGCAGATCAATGTTTCCGTCTCTCTCTTTCTCTGTCTCCCTTCCTGTCTCTAAAATCAATAAATGAAGGATGGCTAATACGGCTCAGTGATTGAATATTAACCCATGAACTAGGAGGTCACAATTCAATTTCTTGTCCGGGCACATGCACAGGTTGCGGGCTCAATCACCAGTGTGCATCATGCAGGAGGCAGCCCATTAAAGACTATCTCTCATCACTGATGTTTCAATCTCTCTCCTCCTCTTCCTCTCTAAAATCAACAAAAAAAATGTTTTAAAAATAATTTAAAGTATGAATAAATAGCCCTGGGCCATGTGCTCAGTGGTGAGAGTGCCGGACTGTGCACTGAAGGGTCATGGGTTAGATTCCCAGATACCTGGGTTGCAGGTCTGATACCACTACCAGTAGGAGCACATGTGGAAGGCGACCAATCGATGTTTCTCTCTCTCTCTCTCTCTCAAAGTAAATCAATGGAAAAAATATTCACACTACATGGATGAAGATAAAATAAGGATAAAGAATTAAATTCAGCCGAACCGGTTTGGCTCAAGTGGATAGAGCCTTGGCCTGCGGACTGAAGGGTCCCGGGTTCGATTCCGGTCAAGGGCATGTACCTTGGTTGTGGGTGCATCCCCAGTCGGGGGTGTGCAGGAGGCAGCTGATTGATGTTTCTCTCTCACAGATGTTTCTAACTCTCTATCCCTCTCCCTCCTCTCTGTAAAAAACCAATAAAATATATTTTTTTAAAAAGAATTAAATTCAGAAAAGTTACAGGATGCAAAGTAAACATACAAACATTAGTTCCATTTCTACACACTAACAATAAACACTTTGATAGAAAAACGAAGAAGGTAGTCAAATTTACAATAGCATGAACAAAATAAAATACTCACAAATAAATTCAACCAAAAGGTGAAACATCTGTACAGTGAGTACTATAATATGGTGATGAAAGGAATGGAAAAAAACACAAATAAGTTGAAAGACATCCTGTGTTCATGAATTTGAAAGGGAAATATCGCGAAGATAACAATAGTACACAAAGCTATCTACAGGTTAAATCTAATCCTGATGATAACTCCAATGGTATTTTACAAGGAAATGAAAAGGGAACCTTGAAATGTATGGAACCAAAAGACCCCCTCTAACAAAAACAATCTTGAGCAAGAACAAAGCTGATGGCATCAATTTATTGGAAAGAGAAAACAAGCAAAGAGTGTGTTGCTGCAGAAACACAGACACATAGCTCAATAGTACAGAAGAGGAAACGCAGAAATAAACCCAGGCACCTACTTTCAAGTCATCTTTGACAAAGCTGCAAGCCACAGAAGAAATGTGTCAATGAATGGTGCTGCTAAAAATCAATATTCACAAGTAAAACAACAAAACTGGACACCACTGATAAAATTTAACACCAACATGCGTGACAGAATTAAATGTCAGCGTTACAACTTAAAAGTCCTTCAAGACAACCTAGAGAAAAAGTTTTGGAGGTTTGTTTTGGACAGGATTTCCTGAATGTGACACTGACCATCAGACAAAATAGAGAAAACAAACAGTCCAGATGCAACAAATAAAGAAACAAAGCTTCTTCACAGCACAGCAGCAATAAACAAAATGAAATGAAAGGCAATTTAGAGGATGGGAGAAAATACTGGCAAATCATATGAAGAAATCGCTTGGAGATATTGTGGATTTGGTTTTGCTCAGCACAATAAAGCGAATACTGTGATAAAGACAGAAATTCACACAAAAAGATGAAATTCCCAGTGAATAATAAAGGTATGTTAATACTATACTGCAGGCTAGTAACAATGCAATGACTCTGTCTCAAAAGCAAGCTCAATATAACTTCATTAAAAATACTTCATTGCTTTGACTGGAAGCTCGTAGATACCTGAAGAATCTTGGTCAAGACTTTGTCAGATTACAAATACTAATCCACATTAGTTCCTTGTCTAGAGCCTTCAACACCACTGAAAAGGTAGCAATGAGATTCAATAAATGAAAAGCATCCAGATGTAATTTCAGACTTTAAGATTTCCACGCTAATGACCTCTTTGCAAACTCAGGCTGGCAGTATCGTTCAATACTTCACTGAAGACCTACTCTGAAGAGTTAGGCTTCCAGGACATATGGTAACACCCCGAAGACACTGGGCTCACAAGATGGGGTTGTACTTTATTTTGACAAGTCTTTAACTGGGGCAGTTCAGAAATACACTCTGTCAGTTCTCCTAGATGGTAGGTCCTGTGATTATAATCAGGTACTATAGCTGGAATTGCGTTAGGTTGCTCTTTCTCCATTGGCTTAGGTACTGTGCATAATTGTAAGAGCTGAGATGTTGAAGAATATGAAATCCAAAAACATAAAGGATGAAATATGCCTATATGAACCCTGCTCTGGATAGCCCTAGCCAGTTTGGCTCAGTGGATACAATGGGACTGAAGGGTCCCAGGTTAGATTCTGGCCAAGGGCACATGCCTGGATCGTGGGCTCCATCCCCAGTGTGGGGTGGGCAGGAGGCAGCCAATCCATGATTCTCTCTCATCGTTGATGTTTCTCTCTCTCTCTCTCTCCCCTTCCTCTCTGAAATCAATAAAAAAATATATATTTTTTAAAAAATATATTTTATTGATTTTTTACAGAGAGGAAGGGAGAGAGATAGAGTTAGAAACATCGATGAGAGAGAAACATCGATCAGCTGCCTCCTGCACACCCCCCACTGGGGATGTGCCTGCAACCCAGGTACATGCCCTTGACCGGGAATCGAACCCGGGACCCTTGAGTCCGCAGGCCGACGCTCTATCCACTGAGCCAAACCGGTTTCGGCAAAAATATATTTTTAAAAAAACCAAAAGACTGCCCTGGAAAGGCCTTATTATTCCCTTCCATGTATGACTTTTCATAAGAAAATATGCAGGGTGGGGCAAAAATAGGTTTACAGTTGTACATTTGGAAACTCTATCTAATAATAGGGTAATACACAAATTGGCTGGGACACCATCATAGTAACGACCAATCAGCAGGCTGTGTGCACAGCAGGAGCGGGTGTGCAAGGCCTTGCAGCATCGGGGACGGGGGCAGGGCCGGGGCAGAGGCCTCCATCTCCGTGTGCCTGCACCGGGGTTTAGGCACTTATGCACAGAGGGAGGCCTCCGCCGTGGACCCACACCCGGGGGTCCGCAGGCCTCCGCTGTGACTCGGTCCGGGATCCGCAGGTCTCCCCTGGCTCCAGCCTACCTCTTTGGGACAATCTATTGAGGAGCCCTGGATGGGTGGGCAGGGCCTACCTCTACAGGGCAATGGTTTGTGGGGCTCCTGCACTGTGACAGGGCACAGGCCAGGCTGGGGGACTCCCCCAGGGACCCCCTCCCTCCCCCCCCAGTACACAATTTTCGTCCACTGGGCCACTAGTAATATAATAATTAACCCTTTGAGTGCCGGGAAGCGCCATCACGCTCCTCCTGTCTTTCGCCGGGAGCGCTATCGGCAATTTTTTTCCCTACTAGTATTTTATAATAAAATCAGCAAACAATATATGTCAAAGATGAAAACAAATGTCGTAAAGGTTTCCTTAAGTTTTTGAATACGTAACTTTAAGCCTACTTTTCCCCCCACTCTGTATTCACAGTATATTTCATACCTTAAAGTTTAACCTAGTGTGTCAGTGGTTTCTAGCTCCTACTCCGTTAGGCACAGCGGGTAGATTCTGTAATTTACACAGGCTACAAGCTCTGCACTTGCAAATGTGTGCGTCCCCCTCTTGATGATAGTCACTGACCAAATCCCATGCACAGGAAGACATTTCGGGGGTATTCAGTTCGATATTATCTTTTCTTTTTCTTTTTTTTTATTGCTTAAAGTATTACCAAGGGTATTACATATGTCTCCTTTGTCCCCCCGCCCTTGACAATCCCCTGGCCTCCCCTACCCCGCACTGTCTTATGTCCATTGGTTATGCTTATATGCATGCATATAATTCCTTCGGATATTATCTTTTTAAAAATACATCTTATGTTGGGGATTACCTTCATTTTGTGCATTCATTTGTTCTTGTGGAAGCTGATATGGTATGAGGAGTCATGTACATGTTTATGCAAAAATATTTATTGAAGTGATTCCATGAGTATTGTGTTCTAATGCTTGAAGAATGAACTTCATTTTTAAAACTTTTTTTTTTAATATATTTTATTGATTTTTTACAGAGAGGAAGGGAGAGAGAGAGTTAGAAACATCGATGAGAGAGAAATATCGATCAGCTGCCTCCTGCACATCTCCTACTGGGGATATGCCCGCAACCCAGGTACATGCCCTTGACCGGAATCGAACCTGGGACCCTTCAGTCCGCAGGCCGACGCTCTATCCACTGAGCCAAACCGGTTTTGGCAAAACCTTATTTTTTTTTAACTGCACAACTAGAAAACCAAGAAATGTTCTCCCTCGCCTTTTTTTAAAAAAACACCAAAAACTAATTTTTTATTGAAAAGTATTTGTAATACTGTAAAGGTGAATCCTATACATGTTCAATAAATATCATATCGTAAAGTTTTAAAAAATATATTTCACTGCTAAGCACTAGTAACAAGCACCTGAGCTTGCTAGAAACATGGGGGCACTAGACCTGCTGAATGCAGGGTTGCCAACAACATGGGATTTATAAGAAAGGGATGTGGGGGAGCAATATCTGCAAAGCACAATTAAGCGCATGCAAAAATATGTGTTCCTGTATATAGTAAGCAATCCTATATAATAAAAGCTTAATATGCTCAGCATCCAACTGTTCATTTGACTTTTCCACCTGTCACTGTGACGTTTACTGATCACCAGGGGGCAGACACTCCGTTTGGTAGGTTAGCTTACTGCTGGGATCTGGCTGATCTGGACTGGGCAAGATGGGCTGGACACGCCCTGGAGCCCATCCTCAGTTCCTCCCGGGCCCCAATCGTGCAGTGGTGGGGTCCCTCGGCCTGGCCTGCGCCCTCTCACAATCTGGGACCCCTCAGGCGATGTCTGCAGGCCAGGCCTAACGACCCCACTGGTGCACGAATCCATGCACCAGGTCTCTAGTTAATATATAAAATATACAAGGTATTCAAAAGGCTCTTTAACCAAAAAACATAGTTAAGAAGCAGGATAAGGATATAGAAACAATTCTACAAAAAATAGGTACAAATGACCAACAGGAATATAGAAAATGCTTTCCTCACTGAAAGAGGTGGAAACCCTCAGGCTTCCAGCAACACTACCAACCACAAGTCCTTCCCTGTGAGTTTAGTACAGCGGGGAGTATTGGGACTTCAGGAATAGAAGGGAGCAATGGAAACAGACCAACCCTCCCCAGGACGGCAGCTACCCAGAAAACGGGAAAAATCAAGCAGTACCATCATCTACAGGGGAGGACAGAGCACACCCTAGGACAAGCATGTCAAACTTGGCCCGCGGTCCTCATGCAACTCACAAAAGATATTTTTGCGAACCCAGTCAATATAACCGTATGTAAGAAACATTTTAATAAAAATTTTGTAACTTAATTTTTACAATATCCTGTTATACATAATTATTGTTAACGAACTAGAACCTTTGCTAATGAGTGATTAATTGTGTTGCATTCATTTCTCTACTCACCTTAAATGCAGGTGCACCATTTCTCTCCACTAACACTAGCAGCGAATACTTTAGCAGCCTATTGCTATATTATTAGCCTTGCACTGACTTGTTTTGTGTGCAAAGCAGGAAATATTTCGCTTTCAGAGAATAAGAAAAATAGGTTTATTTGCGTTACACTTATTAATTTGTGCAGTTATTCAGTGATAAATTAATGTTCAAGAAAAATATATGAATTTTTATTGAAATGTTCTAATATTTTTTTTTTAAATATATTTTATTGATTTTTTACAGAGAGGAAGGGAGAGAGATAGAGAGTCAGAAACATCGATGAGAGAGAAACATCAATCAGCTGCCTCCAGCACATCTCCTACTGGGGATGTGCCCGCAACCCAGGTACATGCCCTTGACCGGAATCGAACCTGGGACCTTTCAGTCCGCAGGCCGAAGCTCTATCCACTGAGCCAAACCGGTTTCGGCGAAATGTTCTAATATTTTATGTTAAAGATTACTCATTAATTTCAGCCTTTGTATTCAGCATGTGTCTATCAAAATAAACCTATACTTCTATGAAAAATGTATCTTTTCTTTTTTTGCGGCCCACATAAACTTAAATCTTGTTTACTTAGACCGTGTTAGCCTTTGAGTTTGACATGCTTGCCCTGGGAGATGGAGCCTAGGAAATCGCAAAGCCAAGTCCAGGTCACTGGTGAGAGTGAGGGTCTTACCTAAGGAGGATATAAGTTCAAAGTTCTCCAGCATCACATTCAGGTACAGCTGTCTCTGACCCTCATCAAGGAGGCTCCATTCCTCCCTGGAGAAGTACAGGGCAATGTCCTCAAAGGTCATGCCAATCTGTCAGAATGGAGACAAAACCAAAGCTGCCTTTCTTTTTTTTTTTTTTTTTAATATTTTACTGATTTTTTACAGAGAGGAAGGGAGAGGGATAGAGAGTTAGAAACATCGACCAGCTGCCTCCTGCACACTCCCTAAGTGGGGATGTGCCCACAACCAAGGTACATGCCCTTGACCAGAATCGAACTTGGGACCCTTGAGTCCGCAGGCCGACGCTCTATTCACTGAGCCAAACTGGTTAGGGTGAAAGCTGCCTTTCTGAGAACCAGTAATTCCACTCCTTACACACCTTCCCCCAACCCTCAACCTCCTCCAGGGCACCCCAGTTTAGTGTGGCCCTAATACTAGTGCAGGCTGCTCTCTCATCACAGTCCCATTACTCACTGCATGGCCCTCAGCAGAGCAGCTGGGTTGGGTGGGAAGGATTGGGGTAGGGGAGGTTAGAGAGCAATGGCATTTAAGGTCTGGGCGATGCCTGCAGGGCCCCAGCCTTCCTGCCAAGCAACACCACTGCAGTTCCTAAATCCTGCCCCCAAGACAAAGACAAGCTTGGGTTTATGCTTCACCTGTAATCCCCACACCAGGTCCCGGGACCATCAGCTCCACTTCCTCCAGATGTGCACACCACTGGGTAATGTTTACCCCCTTCTCATGTTCAGACCCCAGGTTCACTCCCTCAGCTCTGCCCCCTTCCCGCTCCAATGCCACTGGATCTCGCTGGACTCACCCATGAACTTGGCATATGGCGTGTAGAGAGCTTGGAGTCCAGCCGGATCCAGGACCACCCCTGGCCCCTGCTGGACCCACAGCCGGGAAAGCCCCGAATGAGGCTGTGCCGTCCTCCCTGCAGCCTCTGCTCTTTCCGTCAATACTCACAGCCCACATCCTCAGGGACCTTCAGATGCAAGTCACCCCTGTCCTCTCTGCCCTGCACTTGCTGTGTCCTCAGAAGCCACAACACTCTTCTCTCCCCTCCACCTTCCTCACGGTCCTCCACGCGGGGCTGAGCTGCAGGACGGGACAGGCGCCCTCCCCAGGCTGTGCTGTTCGGTATAAGGAGGCGGTGAGGACCCGGGCGACAGGAACTCACCGCAGCCCCGCGCCTCCACACGGGCGCCGCCATTGCACTCTGTGGGCACAGCAGGGCGGGAGCGGCGGGAGTAGAAGCCGCTGCGGGAATGGCGGTCCCTGTCCCGGCCTAGACGCGTGTGGGGTGGCGACTCTGACTTTCAATCCCATGTGCGAGCTGTGAGCACCATTGGAGGCTCCGACCATGGGCTGTGAGGCGGAAAGGGCCGCTCTCCAGCCTTCTCCAGGGGACTCTGAGACCAGGAACTCCTGACCGCCTGAGACAAAACGGAGAGAAGACAAAATCCCGCCTGGAGGACTACAGCTCCGCCCACAGAACGGGAGAATGGAAACGCCTTCTCTGAGCCCCCATTGGCTCAGCCTGGTGGCATTCCATGCAAGGCCTTCTGGGGAATGTAGTTCCCATGCTCCAAGGCCAGGATCCTGTATTTCCTCAGCTGACTCCAGGACCGGTTTGGGGGGCAAATAACCCAAGAAAACACCACGTATACTCAGGCCCCACCAGCGCTTTCAGGGGAGGGGATTTCTAGGGCTAGTTTGTTTCTTGTGCACCTGCTGTGGCTGGTTTTGCATATCTTTCTACAGGACCTGCTCTTCCTGAATGACAGGCACTGTTTCTTCATTCAGGACACTAGGCAAGTGTCTCCTTTCAGGCCAAATGTAGCTGGGGGAGGTTGTTCAAGTTTCTAACGAATTTTAACCTGCCTCCATTGAATCCACTGTACAAAGTTAACAAAAAAGACACTCATACTTAAGAGCATCTGCTTCTGATGCCACCAGAAGTGTCAGCTCTGCCTGGGCTGCAGTGAGGATAAGATGGCCAAGAGACATGTGAAAAAATGCTCAAAGTCACTGATCATCAGAGAGATGCAAATTAAAGCAACAATTAGGTATCACCCCACCACTGTAAGAATGACAACCATGAACAAATGACAAGTGCTGGTGAGAATGTGGAAAAAAGGGAACCCTAGTACACTGCTGGTGGGAATGCAGATTGGTGCAGACATAATGGAAAACATAGGGAGTTTCCTGAAAAAATTAAATATGGAACTGCCATTTGACCTTGTGATCCACTTCTAGGAATATATCCTAAGAAACATGAAACAACAATCAGAAAGACTGTATGCACTGCTATGTTCATAGCAGCACAATTAACAATAGTTAAGATCTGGAAAAAGCCCAGTGCCCATTAATAGATAAGGGGATAAAAAAGCTGTGGTACATTTATACTATGGAATACTATGCAGCAGTAAAAAAGAAGAATCTCTTACCATCTCAGACAGCATGGAGGGACCTGGAGAGCATCGTGCTAAGTGAAAAAAGTCAGTCAGAGAAAGACAAGTATCACTTCATCCCACTCATATATGGAATCTAATTAACAAAATTAACTGACAAATGGAGTGAATCCAGAGACATGGAAGCAAAAAATGTCCAACTTGTAGAGAATTTTTCTAAGTTTATCTGACCCAACACAGGGACAAATTTCAGGACACAAAATGACAATACACTGAGTAATGCTCCAGATAATGACAGTTTTGCACCTTTTTTTCTTTTTTTGGTAAATCCTCACCCGAGGATATTTTCCCATTGATTTTTAAAAAAATATATTTTATTGATTTTTTACAGAGAGGAAGGGAGAGAGATAGAGAGCCAGAAACATCAATGAGAGAGAAACATTGATCAGCTGCCTCCTGCACATCCCCTACTAGGGATGTGCCCGCAACCCAGGCACATGCTCCCAACCGGAATTGAACCTGGGACCCCTCAGTCTGCAGGCCGATGCTCTATCCACTGAGCCAAATCGGCTTCGGCTCCCATTGATTTTTTAGGGAAAGTGGAAGAGAGAGGGAAAGACCGAGAGAAACACGGACGCATCAATTGGTTGCCTCCTGCATGTGCCCTGACCAGGGCCCAGCCAGGAAGGAGCCTGAAACTGAGGTACATGCCCTTGACCGTGCCCTTGTCGAGAATTGAACCCAGGGACCCTTCCATCTTCAGTCCGACACTCTATCCGCTGAGCCAAACCAGCTAAGGCATGCACCTTTTTTATACATTAGACTCAAAGGAGAAGACATAAGGAGGTTACATGAAATCTGCTGGTGATAAATTAGGGAGTGGGGGACTGAAGAGGGAAATCTCTGGGATTGGATAAAAAGTAAAAAAAAAAAAAAAAGACACAAACTTATTTTTAAATGTTATCAAATAGTTAACACTTAGTATTTAACACAGTAACAATAATAATTAGGTCTCTGTGGTCTTTTGCGTTGGGAGATTGTGCCCTGAGGAGTCTGTAAAAAAAGAAATTTCCCTGAAAATCCAAATCGTTATCCTAGATGAAAAACGACAATAAAGAGTAACCATCTGTTAAATGAACCCTGAGACACTGGCTTGGAGTTGGCTGATCCTGATGGGGATCCTGGAGGAAGCACAACGGGGAGAAAACAAGGTGGCAGCATAGGTAAACACTGGAGTTTGCTGCCTCAAACAACCACTTCAAAAATACAACTAAAAGATGGAACGGACATCATCCAGAACCACAGGAAGGCTGGATGAGTGGAAATTCTACAACTAGAAGGAAAGAGAAAAGCATACTGAGACTCAGAGGAGGTGCAGTGCGGAAGTAAAATACTAAGGTGCGAAGGTGCATGCAGAGAGGGCTGGCGGCTGAGGGCGCGGTTGTCGTTTTCAATCGGGAGGGAGTCTCAGGCTCTGAGCTCCAGTTCTGGGCGAGTATCTGGGGACCCAGACTCATACGGGAGAAGCGGGACTGTCTGGCATCAGTCGAAACACCAGGGCAGCTTTCTCTCAGAAGAGCTAGCAGCGATTGCCGAGACACTGAGAAGTGGAGCCTCTGAGAGCAGCCATAACTGCTAGCCCAACCCTGTTGAAATTTTTGAAAATAATAAAAAATAAGACAGCCCCTCATATCTACACAACTTCAGTGCAGCCCTAGGCCCCTGTATTCCTTGTGGATTGGCAACAGTCACTGCTGAAAAGCAGAAGCCACCATTTCTTCCCTGCCCTGTATTGATTAGCAATACTTGGCCCTTTCCTCTCTTAGAAAGTAAATTAAACTTCCTCTCTGCATGTCTTCTATAAGCTGTGAATTATTCCACATCTCTCATCACCTGCCAAACCCTAACAGTGTTCCTTTATTCTAAGGAGTTCAGTGGGTGAAAATGAGAGAAATATCATTGTAGAGGCAAAATAATATTTCCTTCTTCTTTTCTAGGTTCTTTGGTTGGCCTAGGAATTAAATTGATATAATATAGATAAACAGGGGAAAACAATAAAAAGTTATTAAAATGTATACCTACTGTGTATATATGGACTCAGAAAAACAGAGTAACTGACCAAAATGGCAAACACCATCATCTGAAAAGAAACCTTCAACTACAGTAAAAAAATGTGTGTGGAGAGTCAGTTAAGGTAGATTTTCGGGAAAAGCACAGTAAGGACCTCAGTTGTGGCCCAGTGTGCTGTGCACTGCGGTGAGGGCTTGTATTCAAAAGGACTCTGTTCCAACCCAAAAACCCAGGGTGCAGGCACAGGAGACTGGGAAGGAGGATGTGTGCCCATAACATGAACTGGGCTGCAGGGAAAACATGGTGAGAGCCAATATCTCATTCAGCCCGTAGGGATATAGAAAACAGAATCACATGGGCAGTGGATCCTATGCATGAGTAAGAGGTGACCACCCATCCAATGAGATCAGGATCATATAGGACTCCAGCATCAATTCCAAATAATAGGTCCCAAAATTCATGTCCAAGTGTACCCTCTCCTGAAGGGTTAATGTCAGTGTCACATAGGAACATCATGTGACGGGTCAAACTGAAGCATGAAATCCACCACAGTAAATAGTATCGCAGCATGACATTCAACATGTGGGTGAAGGTGCAGAGACAAAGCCCTAATAACCGAGGTCTCCTGAGGGTCAAACTCTGTGCTAGGATCAAAGGGAAGGCAGACAAACAGCAGCTCAGTCTGAAAGAAGGTTCCCCTGCAGAAACCACTGCAGCTGAGAAATGATGGCGTTCCCCTGAACACAGGGAGGCCAAGGGCAAGTCCTCTGAGATGTAAAGGGAATGGGAGGAATCAAATAACTGCAACCATGGAAACAGGAGCTGCAGCTGAGCCACCCTGGACCTCAGACTGTACCTGCTCCAGTGAGGGCTGCACATCAGTGGTGAAGACTGTGTCTGACGCTGCAGAAAATAATGGTTAAAATCCAGCCCCTTGAATCTGACACTTATCTGTGTTGTAAACTAGGGGAGCTGACTTCATTTCTCTGACACTGATGTTTTTCAGTAATTTGATGAGTTTCCACTTGTCCAGGTTGTTGTGAGAATTAAGAGAAAATGCTCAAAAGTCTATCCCTGTAACGCTGACAAGTACTCACCTTGTTACTTGTATTGATCTGGGAAGGCCAGAGTAAGCGCCACCTATCATCTGCATGTGACATTCAGCCACCTGAGACTCAGGGAGCTCTAGTGAGGCTGCTGGAGATTTCCGGGTGGGTTCGACCACAATGAGACCCGAGTGCCAACACTACCTGCCTCCCTGCAACAGTCAGTGGCTTCTTGTAGGTCCCAATTCTTACTAAAATGCACTTCTTACTAAGGTGCTTGTGGGGATCAAGGTAGTGCAAAGTGCCTGGCTTAGAAATGTCTCTGCAAGGAGAAGCTGGAGTTCAAGGGAGATGGAGAGAAAGAGAGAAAAAAATCAATGCTGAGAGAGAATCACTGGTCAGCTGCCTCCTGCATGCCCCACACAGGGGATCTAGCCAAGGCGCCAGGCATCCTTCCTATGAAGGGACCCATGACCTCCTGGTTCCTAGGTCCATATGGAACCACTGAACCATGCCCACTGTGCTCTTAAAATTCATGTACCTATCTCATACTCCCTTGCCCTTACTCTATGAAATTAATGAAAATGCTTTAAAAAATCAATGAAAATATTTATTTAAAAAAATTTTTTAAAAAATACATTTTACCGATTTACTACAGAAAGGAAGAGAGAAGAATAGAGAGCCAGAAACATCAATGAGAGAGAAACATCAACCAGATGCATCTTGCACACCTCCCAATGGGGATGTGCCTGCAACCAAGGTACATGCCCTTGACTGGAATCGAATCCAGGACTCTTCAGTCTGCAGGCCAATGCTCTATCCACTGAGCCAAATTGGCTAAGGTTATTAAAAAAAATATTACCACATATTATTCTCATCCAAAGAAAAAAAAGCATTTAAGACTTATGAGAAAAGGCTCACCATAAATTCTTACAAAAAAATACAATCAAACAACAGCAAGGTAGAATGACAAAATTACAGAATATCTTTGAACTAGAGACCCGGTGCATGAAATCC